AGATGCTTTTTATGAAGTGTTCCCAGCTGAGGCATCAGGGATGCACAAGCATTGGTAACAGGTGAAAATCAATGGGATTTGAAACACTTGAGCTGGGGTGGGTCCTTCAGGGAGAAAAGTACCTCCCATGGTGAGAAGAGACCTTCTTACACATGTGGGCTGATGTGCTGCTTCCTCTGGTTTTAAACACTGGCGTCTTAAGAGCTGCTTTTTGGAAGTGCTGATGGTGATAACTGCTCTGTTTCCTGGTGGCTACCTGGGAGGAGAGGCTGGGTCTGACTTTCCCTCGAGGTCCAATGGAAGGAGACAGAACAGATTGTTCCTTCTGGACATCACATGTAAGCTGTTTGGTTGGTTTAGTCTGGGGGGGTGGGTTGTTGGGTTTGGATTCCTCAGCTGAGCTACCCTAAATCAAGGGGTGACTTTAATTGTTCACCTTAATGTACCAGCATAGCCCACATGCTGTGGTCTGTGGGCCATGAATGGTCTGGAAGAGCAGGCTGCTGGAACTGCTGCCTTCTAACTGTTGTAGCACAGCAATATCAGCTGCACAGCCTGGCTTTTGGCAGTTAGTTCGCATCCTTCTGTCTCAGGTGTTTAATCTGCAACGTTTTTTATCACTGTTGTATTTGAGGGTCAACATCAACACCAGAAAAGGGGCAACAAAGCTAAGGGAGCACGCAACCAGGGTGCCCTGGCTGACTCCTGGATGGTGTTCTTTGGGATCATCCTATTGTTTTCCTCCCACGCTGCTTGTGGGCACGATACTGAAGGCTTTGGGGCAAGCCCCTCACTCAAGTTCTTGACTGTGGTTTTTCCTTCCCTCCCAAGCCAAATGTAGGCACAATTCTTACCTGGAGAAAGTGGAGCTTGAGACAGTGGTCCTGGAAAACCTGGGGTTTGTTAAAGGAAGATCAGATTCACAAAAAACAACTCTTTGACCCCAAAAGATGGAAATCCTTCAAAATCTAGGTTTGCATGTAAGTGCCTGAAGGAGGAAAGACACTTTCTATGAGCTTAGATGCTATTGCTTGTATTGCATGGGCAGCTCCAAGTGTTGGCAGGTAGCTGCAGTGGTGTGGCTGGGCATGTTTCCTATGGCATGTGTGGTCATCCCAGAGGAGCAGGGCTGTGTGAGGATTCGGAAAGGCGCATCCTGAGGGCATGGTGACCCTTACAGAGATAAAACCAGCATTTCTTGGCACTCCTGTACTTTGCTCAGGCACTTCTGCATGGGGGCAGTGAAGGGGTAGGGGAACCCCACCGCTGTCATCGGTGGGGGATGAGGATGTGGTGCTGGTTGTGGGGTCACCTAAGGAAAGGACAACAGTCCTCAAGGTGCTGCTGCCCAGTTGAGGGTAAATTCATGGGCGAGTGAGCATTTGAGGCTTCTAAAGTGCAGTGCAGGTTATATGGTCTTTGCTGTAAACTGTGAACTCCTCAGGACAGAGTCCTTGCCCTTTTAATCTGGAAAGTGACGTGTGAGCTGAGAAATCCTTACCCCTACATAACTACTACTACTACAGGAGAACAGGAATCATGGTGAAAGGAAGGGCTTTTGTTGCCCTTGCCAGCACCCCATGATGGGGAGTGCTTCCCACACCTCCCACAGTCCATCCACAAGGAAACAGCACAGTGCTCCTGCCAGCCATACACCTCTGGAAAACACCCCTCAAAATACCACCTCAGTTGCTACAGCCTGCATCCCTCCAAGTGGAACTTCCACTTATCATTAAAGCTGAGGTGTTAATTTGGGCTTTGTTCCCAACAGAGTCTGCAAAGCTTCCATTCAGGCCCTTGGGAGACTTGAAAAGGAGATAGGGATGGAAAAGTTACTGGGAGGAAACTCGAGGGCTCCAATGCGAATAGAACTGTCTGCGGAAGCCATGTTCAGCCTTGTGTTTGTCCCCAGAGTAAAACCTTCCCAAGATAAAACAGCTGCAGAAGCAGGAGCTCTAACAGGATAAGATGATTGCTCCTCTCTAGGACTCTATCCAGGATGGAAAGTTGGAAACTACCCAATCCCTTCTTCCTTCAGGGCATGGATAATCTAAGAGCCACTGGTGTCAGCAGCAATGCTCCCTCAAAGTCAAGAAGACTCTGAGGGTGCAAAGTCAGGATGTGAACACTGCCAGACTTCCACCAACCTTCATGAAACTTGCTCAAGACCCAGACTTCACACCTGACATAGCCTTCACAGGCAGTGACCAATGTACCATGGGCATGGTGGTCCCATTATGTTCTTTCTTGGCTATATCGGAGACGTCCAAGAGGTTCCTGATGGACTTTAAGGTCTACAGCGCTCTAAGCAGAACCAAACTGGCTTATTTACTCTTGTTCTGACTCTGGCCCAATTAATTTGTAGGCACACAGAGTATACTTCACTTCACCCCCTTGGCAATTGTATTTATTATTTTTAATCTATGCCCATCATTTGGCAAGTAGGAGAAAGTGGATAAAACGGGAAGAGAAACTCTTGGGACATCAGTTGGGCTCATTAAATGTTTGGCACTCTGATTATCTGTTGGCAATGAAATGCCACTGCTATATTTTAATGTGGAATATGATACCTTAATGTACAGGAGAGCCTCCTCAGCCCAATTCTGGTACGCTTGAGAGAGGAGCAATTCAATCGTCTGCGACCTGGATTGTATTTTTAATGGCTGCCAAGCTAGATAAAATATTTAAGTATTCACTTTTATATCAGCCCACATGAGGATTTGAGCCTTCCAGGTTGTGTAACGCAGCCTGGCCTACTTTTGGAAGAGTCTATGGAAATGGGCACATATGTACAGAATAGAGTACACAGCATATGGGTCAGCCAGCCAGTGTTAACTACTGTGGCACAACCAGGTCCAGCACAGCTAGGCCAGACCAACCAAGGAGTCTGCGTCCCTTGTGTTGGATTTCGTAGGTCACCTGGGCAAAAAATAGATGAATGCAGCTAAAATAGAGATGGTCATCCTCAAATGTGGCTGAGTCCCTCAGGCAAAGGCACTGAGGATGGTGGCTTGCCAGCAGAGCTGACCTTGCAGTATTATGAGACTGGGGCTCTGTGCCACCATGTGCTTGCCTGCCTCGTGGTGCTGCTAGAAGGGAGCTGGGAAGAGCAAGGTGCACCATGATCAGACTAGAAATGGCTGTCTATAGCCCACACTCACTATGCAGGTTATTTCTCCACCAGCTACACAAGAAACCTGACTAGTGCACTCTGATGTAGACATCTTACTGGGGAAAGGCTACCTGTAGATCAGCCCCAACCCTGGTATTAAGACTGCTTCAGTGGAGCTGAGGCAGTTCAGATCCCTGGAAGAGCTGGATCATGATGTCTTCAAGCCATAGGCAATGCTGGGAGGTTATGGTCCTACTTCGGAGTTGAGTGTGTGAAATGGGCCTGTGCTATCGGGCTGGGAATTTCATTAAGTGGGATACAAACATGAGGATGTGCTGGGATGTCCAGGGATGGTGTAAGAACACACAGGTGTGAGGAAATGGGGTGACCTTTGCTACCTGCACAGGGCAGGCTTGAGTTACATGATTGTCAAGTGCTCCACCATGCACTGGCATCGACCCCGATAGTAGCATGGGCTGACTGACTGCTGCCATCCCCAAGCACAGCAAAGTCACTGTGAAGTGACAGGGAAGTGGGGGACGGCACACACAAAGCAACTAGTGCATGGAAAGAAGGGAGGCAGCCTCCTATGGGCACTCGGCTCCTCTCCAGTTTCCACCAGGATCAGTTCAGCTTCGTGTTACTGGGATGAATCAGCCCCTTCCCTGCCTCTATGTGCTGGTGGGACAACTTGGCTCTGCCCAAGTCAATAGCTGGGTCCCTGCAGCCAGCTCTGCAGCCCTTCAACCGCTGTCACAGGTAACCGAAGCTCCAACAGCCCTCTGCTATTCCCTCTGTCACAAAGGGCTATTGCTCTTCCTAACTGATCCAAAGAAACCCAGTTTCTCTTCACATACAAACAGTCTTGTGATTGCACCTATATTAATAACGCTCCACAATAAATGCCACCAGGTGGCTGCTTCAATGCTGCTCTGAATCTTTACAAGACTTTCTTGTGACCTTGCTCCAGGCCAAATCCCAGCTGTGTTCCCAAGGAAAGGCTGTCGCAGGGGCTCTGTGCCTGGACAGACGTGCCAGGCTTTGGCCAAATGCTTTTGCAGTGAGTTCTCTTGCATCTCAGAGGGTTAATATCAGAAATGAGAGGTCTAGGTGAGTGCCAAGTATCAGGAATTTCCTGCTCACCTGCAGTACACTGTCTCCATGCCTTGGTTGGTCAGTCCTGTTTCCCTGTGTTTTGCAGGTGAGCTGTTCTATGCATCCTATTGCTCTGCTCCTCCCTGCCTGCAGTGGGAGATCAGTGAAATGGGAGGCATGGAACCTCCCAGCAGGCTGATGTAGGAACTGGGATTGATCCCTACAGTTAATCCCACACTGTCAGGTCTTCCTCTTGTTGGGAGAGGCTCTCCTTGACAGGTGGAAGAGGACAAGTGCCTGAGCAGCTTAAATGGTGCTGCTGAGATAGGAAATTCTGGGGTTAAATCCAAGGATTTTATTTGGAGTTCCTGCTCCAGCTATCAGCCCTGATGAAGTCAAGAGGAGCTTTCTCTAAGGAAAAGTGTGGGGGGGGGGGCAAACCCGGATGCTTGTGGTATCATTCACACTTGCATTTCTCAGGGTGAATGTAAGGATTGGCCTTTGGGTCCCAGCCATATCCTCCCACCTCCTTTAGCAGTGTGGTTGCTTCTGGATAGTCAAAATACTACTTTTAGAGCCATCACCCTCATAGCTACTTGGAGAGCCAGGAAGGTGGGCTCAGAGCCCAGCTTCTCCCCAGAAGAGATGCAACATAGAGGCTCCGTTTAACCCCATTCAGGGACTCATGGTATACAGGAACACAAGAGAGAACCTCGAGACACCAGGATGGGCAAACCCATGGCTGGTCCTGGCCCATTTTCTGCTGGTGGGGAACCTCTCCCTGCCCTATTCCATACTGTGATATGCTCAGTATTCCCACTCCTTTGCTCTGCCTGCCTTTGCCTCCCCTCTTCATAGCTGTGTGAAAAGCCTTGAATGAATCATGCTCTATTTTGACAAGCAAAGTGGTATTTTCAGTGCCATGCTGAAGGGGGGGCAGCTCTCCGGGGTCCCCCATCAGTGCCCAATGGTGAGGTAAGGGATGGGGCAGGATCAGGTCAGTGGGAACTAGTGCCTGGATCTGAGCTGATCCCAATTGTACAAGTGCAGTTTCTGGGGCTGCAAAGTGCAAGTTGAGAGTTTACCTAAAAGCAGCATTTTGCCTATTTATTTTTTCCCCAAATAATACTGAAATGGTGCAGCACTAAGGCCAAGGAGAGCTGGGCTTGGGGAAGCTCCCTGGACACCTCTGCTCCCTTGCCAGCTGCCCCTTTTCCCCTGAGGACATCACACATTGCACCTTTCCAAGCCTAGACAAGTGCTGTGTTTCCCTGCCAGCTGCACAAGCCTTGCCTTCACCCTTTTCTCCCCAAAAAGTAATCCTAAAGGATGGAAACAGGCTCAGGTCACCAATGCCTTGGTCTTCTCCAGGGAGCAGCAGGACAATGGTGACCATTCCTATATGAAATATGGTAAAATATTGGAACAGGTTGCCCAGAGAGATGGTGGATGCCCCATCCCTGGAGACACTCAAGGCAAGGCTGGATGTGGTTCTGGGCAACCTGACCTAGTTGGAGATGTCCCTGCTCACTGCAGGGGGTTGGATGGGGCCCTTCCAACCCAAGCTATTCTATAATTGAATGATTCTATGGGGAAGGAGGCTCCTGCCCACATGCAGCCTTTGGAGCTGCCAGATCCTGCAAATGCAGGCAGCAGAGCATCCCCAAACCGAGCGCTTGGCCACCCCTGCACACCCATGGTGGCACCAGCTGTGCAAACAGGCTTCTTTTCCAGGAGCTTTCCATTAACACATTTGATGTCTAGCTGACAAAGCACTACTGCCTCTGGGTTTCCCTTCCCTAGCAAAGCACACTCAGGGTTGGTCTCTGCTCTTGCTCCAGGTGTAAACCTGGAGTAATCCTATTTAATCCTGCCTTCAAAGCAATCATTAAAACGTGAAGGTGCTGCTAATTTCGGGTCTCACTGCCTCCGAGCTGTATCCTACCAGTGCTGCTGCTGCCCAAAGGGTTTTTGACATAGTGTAAAAGCAAAGCTCCGGAATGAGCGGGGCTGCCCGCGCTTGTTGGCATCGAGGTTGGGGAAGGTGCCTGCACACCCCTGGTACGGAGCTGGGACGCTCCGTGCCCGCCCAGCCCCGGGGCCCCTCAGTCTGACCACTCGTTATCATCCAGCTCCGAGTCGTCGTCGGACTCGCTGTACTCCACTGCGATCCGGCGGGACAGGATCGTCGCCACGTCGTTGCCCACCGGCTCCTTTTTGGCCTCTTGTTCCCATTGCTCCTGGACTTTCCGGAGTTGGATTCCTGAGGTAGGAAAGGGGGGAGAAGGCTTTAGGGGCAACGTGGCCAGCACCCATGGACGCACCTGATGTGTGGCATCCCACCAGCTGAAAGTATTGGCTGAAATGAGACGGCTGCAGCCCCCTTGCAGGAAGATGCACAGGATTATAAAGCTATACGAGATAACGTGATACATGAGATTATAAGGCTACATAACAGAATAAAGCTGCTCCTCTGCTTCCACTTGACCTGAAGAGGCTGAACTTTCTTGAAGGTTAAATCCACAGTTCAACCTAAGATTTGCACGGAAATGGGAACGACTTTGGAGCACGCCTGCTGCAACACGGAAGGAGGCCACGCACACAAAAGCTTCAAGACATCCCTGCGGAACTCCGCACCACCTCTGATGATGGGTTTCCCCCAGCTCCCTGCACTGCACCTCTTTCCCTCCCCAGGTCCTATCTGGATGCCACCATCTTCACACATCATCTTGCACTCCCCCCCCCCCCCCCCCCAGACCTATACCAAGAGGTGTTTTGCCACCATGCGGCAGCACTCGGGACCTGTCCCCCCCCCCTTCCTCCCGCTGCCCCCGCTCACCCCTGCGGATGGCCGCCAGCAGGTCGCTCCGGGCATCGCTCATGGGCATCAGCGGGATCTGCGGCTTCCGAGGCTCCATGGTGGGAGCCGGTGGCGATGCCGAGTGCGCCGGTGAGGCGGCAATAGCGGGGGGCCCCGGCGGCGGCGGTGGGGGTGCCACCGGGGGTCCCATGGGGCCGGCCTGCGGCGGGGAGGCGGAGTAGGGCCCGGGGGGCACAGGAGGGGGTGAGGGTGCGTAGGACGGGGGGCCGGCGGAGCCGGGGGCCAGCGCGGGGGGAGCCGAGATGGGGCTGTCGAAGGCGGTCTGTGCCGAGGGGATGACGGGCGGGGGGGGCGGCGGGGCGGGCGGCACGAAGTACTCTGCCATGGGCACTGGCTGCGGGCTGCAACGGGAGCAAAGCCGTGTCAGTGGGACAGGAATGACTGCACCCATCACCCATCCCGGGCACCCGACTGGCTCTGCTGTGGCTTGGTTTGCTCTGGACCCTCATGTAAGCTCTGTCCCAGGGTCATGGAGGTGGGGGGCTCTGCTGGTGGGAGGGGCAATAGGGCATGTAGTGGGAAAATGGTCCCCTCCATCCACCTTGTTGCCTTATCTGGGACGAGGTTACCCCAGAATTGCTCCTGACTCATTTGCCCGTGGGTCTCACTGGTGGTTTTGGCTGCAGAGGAGGGCTCTCCCTACTACCCCAGCCCACCAATGGGTGGTCAACCCGTCACCAAGCCCCCCTTCCCCTGGGCATCCCTCCTCCGTGAGAGAAGAGCAGGCTGAAGCCCTACCCGTACTCCTTGACTAGGTGAGGTCTCGGCCCGTTGAGGATGGCCTCGGGGGGCTGCGGCACATGGGGCTGCTGGAGCCGGTTGAGGCTGTTCTGCCGGCTGCCCGCTGACGGGCGGTAGACGTGCTCCTGGGGGGGGGCAGCCACCAGCACCCCTTCCTTGTGCTCCACAGGGGGCTGGTGGGATGCTGGTGTCAGGAGCTGTGCCGGGTGGTTGGGGCTCGCTGGGTATGAGTGGTCGGCTGCATCCGATGCGTAAGATCTATGGCACAGGAAAACCCAACTGTTGTATTCCTGGGAAGGGGGGGTGGCTGGGTGGGGGTGTCAGCGGGATGTGGGGTTTTTGGGAGTATTTTGGGGTTGAGACAGCAAAGCAAGAAATGGGCACAAAATATAGACGTGCAATAGCAGAGAGATAGCGGAGGGGAGGAGAACACCAGCACAGTCTCTTCCCTTAGCTGCTGAATGGAAAGTGCTCCAACTTTATCCCACCACCAAGGCTGCTCCTGAGGTCCTGGCTGCGACCCTAAAGGCACCAGCTGCCTCTGAGCTACCACGAATGTATGGTTTACCATCCCAACCCTCCTACAGGAAACACGTTCCCCCAAAGACAGAGAAAAGCAAAGGAGAGGCGGTGAGCTAAACGTGCAGTAGGTAAAACCTGCCTATTATCTGGGGACAGTGATCCTTCCGATGACGCCATGTGATAGGGGGATGGTGAGAACCTGTTATCGGGCCGGAACTCTTTATCATACGCCATCATGTTCCACTCCAGGCGCCGGTTGCGGGCTTTCCTCACTTTCTTCACCTCCCGGGTGGAGTCTTCCACCAGCCGCTGCTCCTGGGGGCACACACAAGCCACGGCTCCATCTCAGCCCAGCTCCTCCATGGTCACCACCCAGCACCATGAGATGTGCCCACTGCAATGGGCTGGAGCACACGGGATGCACCAGGAAGGTGATTGTCCTCCAGGTCCTGGGACATCCCCCCGCCAAGGATCCCCACCTGCCCCTTACCTTCTGTCTGCGCTTCTCCTTTCTCTTATCTTCTGTTGCCTGCAACATTTTCTCCTTCCATAAGTTGAAGAAGTAGGAGGGGTCAGTGTAGAATTTGAGGCCATCCTTTTTGTCATCCCTGGTGGGTTGGGAGAGTGGGTTATCAGCCATAGGAGAACACCCCCCTTCCCTTGAGCATGGTGGGGTGGTACGAGCACAGTCATAAGCTGTTGCCCCACCACGAACATGTCCAACATAACAGTCACTATCTGGGGTACCACTGCGTCCCAACCACCCTACACCCTGGGGATGGTGGCACAACAACTGGAGAAAATAACCTCTCAGCCCTTGCTGAGCAGCAAATGGGGTGCAACCCTGGTGTCTCTCCTGGAAAGGACCTCCAGGACCCTTTTGGTCCCCCCAAGGAGTGATGCACTGGCCACCCTACCTGTAGGGTGTGAGGATGTTGAGTGGCGGGGGCTTGTCGCAGCGCTGGTACATCTCCATTACTGGGTTGGGGATAGAATTGCGAGACACGACCTGTTGGTTCTGCACCGTGGAGCTCTTGAAGGCTTTCCTCATGTTGATGTCCTGCAGTGAAACTGGGGGCACAAGAAGAAGAGGGGATGCAGGGGTGGCCTCAGCCCCATGAACCTGGGGCTAATCTGGCCCTGAGCACCCAGCCACCACCCCAAAACAGCCCCAGCCCCTCACCTTCCTCCACCGTGGAGTCCAGCTGCGTCACCTTGATGACCAGCAGGTCCACCCTCTCCTGCAGTGAGTTCATCCTCATGTAGAAGCTGTTGGCTTCATTGAACAGCTCTCCGAAGATGTCCTCTGCGTGCCTGCCTGGCAGAGGGCAGTGCGCACACGTCAGGCAGCAGTGGCTGGCAGGCAGCTCTCGCCCTGCCCATCCCTGCACCTCACACCTTCCCTCACGGGCTCCATGGGGCTCCCTCCCCAGCCATGGGTTTTGGGAGCTGAGCCTCATTCTCTCCCAGACCTGGCAAAGTGTTGTATGAAGGGAGGTGAGCACAAACCACCCACCCTGCTCCTGCCCACTCCTCTGTGCACGAGCATCCTTTTCAGTGACAGTGGTACCCACAGGAGGCACTAAATCATCACTCTCTGTGCCATAAAAAGCCTTTGGATCTACCAGGACAGATGCAGCCAAAAAACCCACCATCATACAACATGACCTGTGGAAACCCAGTCCTGAAGGTGGAAAACCAGGAGCAGGGGAGTGGGGAGAGTGCTACAGCAGGGGGAAACTGTCATTTATTTCACTTTAGCAGTTATTGCCCTGCAGCGCTCGGTGTTATGATAACTTCATTAGGGCTGTGACTATCACAGGACTGAGCAGGGCACCTGGCAGAGCACTGCTGACATCTGCAGGCTACAGCACCCATCCCATTTCATCCCCCAGCCCAGCACCTGGAGGTTTCCTCCAAAACCATGCATCGAATGGCTCCTGGAATCAAGGCACTTCTGGAATCCTCTCAGCCTGTCACCCAACTCAAACATTTGTATTTGATTCCCTTTTCTCCTGGATGAGAAGCCATGGCCTGAGCATCCATGGGTGCTGCTCATGTGAGCGCCTGTGCTTCCAGCAGCTCCCTAAAGACAGGGTTTATTTTTCTGGGAGTATTTTAGAGAAGAATCTAGTTCTGGAGGAGGGGGAAATCAGAGGGGGGGGCCTGCAAAGCCTGTGCTTCTTTCTCTATTTTAAGTCAATACTCAGCAGTGAAATAGGTTGCCCCTATTAAATCTGCACACTGGTGTGTGCAGTGCTCTCATCCTCCCCTTTTCTGCTGAAAGCAGTCCCAGCATAGGAAGACAGATGAGGATTTAGACCTTTTATATAGACCTCTCTTTCACACAAAGCTCTAAGATCAAAATGAATAGGTTGGGGTTTTTTAATCTTCACCTGACCCTCCTGTTTCAGGCCAACTCAAGAAGCAAGAAGCTCACAAAGGCTTTTTTGTCCCCCACTGCACAGATCAACTACGGGAGGAAAACGGGTCTTAAAAATGTCATCAAGTCCCCATTAGGGCTTGACCCTGAGCATCCTCCTTTTTTAATTAGCTGGATAATTCCCACTGAATTCAGGGTGGTTGCAGCCCATATGGCTCTCACATAGCCCCATTTCTCTGTGATTGGAACTGGACCAAGCAATTGCGGTGTCCCATCAGCATCCCACCAGCATCCCACGCCGAGGTCGCTGTGCTGTGACTTACTGAGGCTGCCCAGCTGCTTGATGATGGCAGCCAGCGTGCTGTTGGTGACACATTCCAGCTCACTCGTCACCCCCTCCGGAAGAGCCCCCCGGCACAGGTGCCGGGGCTCGATATTCCTCTTCACCAGCGGCATGCTGCCGGCGAGCCCTCACGCCTCTCCTGGGCAAAGAGAGAACAAGAAACACTCAGCTTTTACCATTTGTCTGTTTTTATCCCCATTCCCTCTGCTCTCTGCCCAGGGCACTCATCCTGCCTGCACCGGTACACAGCAAGTGCAGCCCATGCAGTGGCATCAGGGCTCTTCCAAGCAGGGGATGCTCTGGGGGTGCAAACCAGTGAGCACATGAACGCCAGGATGGAGGTGAGGACCCTACCCTTGTGCTCCACTGCCAAGCCGCTGTACCCAGGGAGCTTTTCCCACTTCCCTTCCTGGAGCTGTGCGCAAACCAGGAGCAAAGCCCCATGTGCTGCAGCTCTGAAAAGCCTCATCCAACCCAAACAGCAGCCAGAAGCGAGCAAGCGCTTGTAATGCCATTACTTCCAGCTCAGTGCAAAGCTCTCCGGGGTTTTATTTGTGCACACCGAGGCAAGCTGCCGTGGCCAGCTCTCTGTCGCACCCTACATGCCCCCTGCGCTCCATGCCATCCTTGCCTGAACTGGGGATGGTTCTTTTTCTATGGGTCTTGAGGAGATGTAGGGAGATGCCTGCACCCAGCAGTCCCATCTCCAGTGAGAACACTTCTGGCAGCTGGCAAGGAAGGAGGATAATGGGTGCAGTGGGGTAGGAAGGGGGTGCTGGGGGCAGGTCACCCCACTGATGTAAAGGGCAATTGGTGTGAAATAGGCTGAGAAAGGAGCACAAAAAGGGGCATTTATTAACCACGGTGCTGTCTCCTGGGGTGCTGCAGGCTGGGACTGGGACATGGACAGGCACAAAGCACACAGGCTTGCACAAGGGGGTCTTATGTGACACGAGTGCATCAGGCCTCAGATCCATCCCTAACGCAAAGACAAACTGATGGCTTCAGCATTGCAATCACCAGGAATTGGATCCAGGGCCGGTAAGGACCGGAGGGCATGAACAGTGAGATGAATCCCCCCATTTCACACCCCCATTAACCCCATCCTTCACAAACGCCCGCTCTGCTTTGGCAGTGAAGGAAACGCAGCTCCCGAGCAGTGCTGTTAATAGCTGGGAGCAGAGCAGCTGGGCACAGCAATCCCAACCACGAACGGAGCCAGAAATCTGCAGAGTTCACATTTTTTGGCCCCGGGAGCATTCGACAGAACAGTTTCCCATTGATGGCACCCGTCCCCCCACCAGCACCGCCAGCTCCTTCGCAGTTTTCAAATGCAAATGCAAGCTGCCTCCATGAAAGAGTCCCAAACTTGTCCCTAAATCATTCATATCGAGCTTCCCAAAGGGCTGATTGTGCTTCCGGAGCTGTATGCGCAGGGTTGGGCTCCGCTCTGCCCCAGGGCAGTCAGGGCACTGGGGGAAAGACCCCAGCCCTGAACCCTCCTTAGAGCCTACCGTGTGTCCTCTGGCGCTTCCCAAAGTCACTGCACTTGCGTGGGGAGCTGGTACTGTTCCTGGCTCCCCAAAAATCCTAGAGGCTTCTGCCAGCCGGGTGTATTTTGGCTGAGAAAACTGTGATGGAGTTTGCAGGGGAGGCTCTGGATGTTGCTGATGGATGTTTGCTCTGGATACACACAGCTCCTCTTTGCAGGCACCCCCTTAACCCCACTTGGGCTTATAAAGAGAGGAGCAATGCTGGCAGCTTCACCCCAGGCTCACTTCGAGATGGTTTCACATTATCACCCCAACATGTGCACTCAGAGGCTGAGCCCCAGCATGTCCCCATGGCAGTGGCTGCAGGGACCGGAGGGTGCAGGGCAGAGCAGTTAATGAGCTGCTTGGGCCCAGCAATTAGAAACACGGAACAAAGAGCCATTCTCACCATCCGCTTGGGACACGGCCACTGGCACCGGGGCTTTTTGTCCTGCGCATGGGGCCTGGGGGGAATCAGCCTCCAGCCCTCATGGGGACCACAGAAGGGAATGAAGCAAAGAAGGATCTGAGGTCTGATACTTCCCAGCAAGGACAGCGGGGCAGAGGGTAGGGATGTGGTCTGATAACAGCATGTGAAACCATGCCACGGGAGAGCATCCTGGAGAAGAAAGGTCCCTTTAATCTCCCCCCCCAAAAGCACTAACAAGACTCAGAGCTTGCAGCAGAAGAAACCAAGGAGTTAGGCACACACATTTTTAGGCCAGGCTAGCCAGGACAGGCAACTTTTCAGTTGCTGGGTTTAACCTCCCCAGTTAATGGCTCATATTCCAAACATGGACAGAGTTTGGCCAAGAGCACTTCCTGATTTCTTCCACACACGTGGCCACACCAGACTCGACCTCAGTGCTCAGCACCACGGGCCATCACTGACACACCATGTGCATCAGGCTTAGCAGCAACCACTATGGCACCCCCAGTACAGCCCAGCTTGCCAATGCTCCAGTAAAGCCACATCTGGGCAGCTGCAGGACCAAATTACCATCTTCCCATAGGCACTATTAGCCCCTGAGCAGCCTCACCTGGGACCCATATCCCCACCCATGGGCCAGGAGTTTATTTAAGCTCAGCTGGGGTGCTAGTCCTGCCCTGAAGGATGCTCCAGCCTTGCTCCTAGCCAGACCCTGCTGGGTATCACCCCTGCAAGCAGCTCCTGCCTCAGGTGGGTGCTGGCACGGATTTGGTGCAAGGCATCTGAGCCATGGGCTGGGTTCTGCTGTCAGATGCCTGTTCTGGCACCAAGGGTGTGGAAAGGAGTTCCTAAAATCCTCCCTTGGGATACATGTCTATCCTTGCTGGCCATGGATGCTTGTAGGTGGGGATGAAGCCTTCCCTTCCTGCTCTCCTCTCTGATTGCAGCTCAGGAGAGGTACCAGCCCCTGAGGGCTCGGGTCTTTCTTTCCTTTCTAGCTGAGGGTGCATTAGGAGATGCAGCAGATGGCTCTGAGGCAATGAGGAGATTCCAGCTACAGCTGCCCCGCACAGTCCCTCGCATCCCACCCTTCTGCTGCTTTGGCATAACGGTACAAGCCCCCATGATGGTCCATCTTCAAAGCCTCACTCAGGTTTAGGTGGCTATATGGGCTTTTCCAGCCACAGTCAGCAAGGTTAGCTCCTCTTTATTTCTTTCTCATGGACAGTCCCAGTTTCTCTAGGTGCTTCCTGGGTGTGGGATTCACAGATGCAACCTCAACCAACTGCAATGGTCTGAGGCTTCTCATTCCCATGCGCATCCGTGGGATGTTGTTGTAGCGTGAGCATCTCTTCTGCTGGGTCTGGGGACATCAGCCAGGTTTTAATATTGCTCCCATGGACTAAAATCCATGAGGTTTTGTTATCTCCTCAGTGGAAGTGAGGAGCAATCAGAGGGGTAATGCCAATGTCAGGCTGCAGGAGGAGGAAAATGGGAGCCACAAACCCAGCAGGAATTTCCTGGAGGTGGAAGGCAGGAACGGGATCAACTGGGGGCTTCCCAGGAGCTGCTGCCATGGCACAGGCACACTGTAGGCTCTTCCATCACTCATCTTCTCTCCCTAACTACTGAACAGGTCAATAACTCTGGGTCTTGTAGTACTGGGAAACACTGCAGGTGAAAGGCAGTGGTGACAGCTCAGCTGTAGGACCAAGGACACAGTTGATGATGATGGTAACTAGAAAGTGCTCACTTCTCCACATCCAACTCACTGCTGCCCAAGCAAAGATCAGCTGAAATACCCAGGCAGGGGAGATGAGACAAGGAATGAGCTTTATCTTCTGCCCTAAGAAGCTGATTTCTCCCATGGAACAATCAGCAAATTGACTGCAGCATCCCAAACCCTGGAGCAGTCCCTGCTTTCCCAGGCCATGCAGGGGGCGAGAACAGGAGGGATGGAGCTCAGTGCTGCCCTGGACCATGACTGCAAGCCCCAGGTCCCTGCAGACCAGATGGGCAGTGTGATCTGCAGGTGCTGGCTTACAGGTGACCCCTACAGCTGGCTCTTTCCAGATGTCATCCTTCATCTCTGCAGGCATCACATCTGGCAGCTTAAGTCCTCGGGGTCCATCAGGGGCAGGCAAGCAGCTCTTGTTTTGTCAGAAGGTCCAAAAGATTTGAATTTCATGTCCAGCTATTGCTCCTTATATTCTTTGTAATAGCTCTTCATGTACATAACTGTCTCCTCACCTTCACTCTGCCCTCAGACCCACTTGCCTTCTCCCACTGAGACTGAGCTGTGACTTGCAAAGCCAAGCTGGATTCCTGTGCTGGCGTCCAAAGTGGCCTGAAGAATCATGCATGCTCTGGGTGGCCCTGCAAGGAGGGACAGGCTGGGTGGCAACAGGTTTCTCATGCTGGCTATTCCCCATGACAGATGTTTGGTTTGTGCCTACCTGCACCTCAGCCTCAGTGTCCCGCTTCATACTGCATGAGAGAGCAGAGGGATGATGCTCTGCTGCCATCCTCCTTCATGGGGCCAGGGTGGGACAGAAGGCAGTTTTGGAGTTTGTTATCTACTGCTGGGCATTTCCTGCAGGAGAAACCTGGACTGGAAATGGAGCCATGGCAGTAATGAGCAGAGCTGGGCTGGGGAGGATGATCAGCCATGGAGGGTACTGAAGCACAGTGCACACCCATATGGATGATATATGAAGCAGCAGCTGAGCTTGTATGAGATGGCCAAAAGAAACCTAATTCACGATGTGCCAAATGGCCAAGACCAGCCCTGAGCCTGGATTTGGGGAAGACATGGGTAAGGGTGCAGTGAGCACAACCATCTCAAGACCAGGAGCTCAGCTCTGGGCCAAGCTTTGAGGACAGTCCCTTTGCTCCACCCTTGTAATCAAAGCTCTTGCCCAAACTGGGCTCCCCAGGGTGCTGCTGAGCACCGAGGACCAGACAGTGCCAGGAACTGAAGGGTTTTGCAAGGGAGCAAAAGCTTTGGTTGGATGCCAGGAGCCCAAGCAGTGCAGAAACCAAAGGGATATGTTGAAAACTCCATTATCCTCGAACAGAAGACAAAATAGGTTACAAATTAATATCAAAACAAGAAGGGCCAAATCTCACAGTGCCTGTTCAGGACCGCAACCTGTGTTTCAGTGCAGGTACCCTGGCAATGGCAAGGTTCAGAAGGGCTGTGGGCATAGGAGCAAGGAGGAGACACAAGGCAGTCCTGAACTATTGAAAAGAGGGGGAAAAATGCCAACTCTGGAGCGAGGAAAAGGACAAGAGGCAGAGGTGACACTCAGTTGGGCTGGTAGGTGCCTGAAGGAGCCTGTCCTGTGGAGCCTGGCAGAGCAGACCTGGTATGAGAGGGCTGGGAAGGGTCTCTGGGGTGTGCAATGTTTCCGAGCAGAGAGAAGCAAAAGCAGCAGCAGCCCTTTGAGCTGTTGGTTTGTGGAGCTCTGCCCCAGAACGTGCTGTAGATCAGTGCAGGAGGGTTCAAAGAGCAACAGGACAGATCTGCAGGGTCACCAGCAGCTACATAATGGTTGAGGGGCAACCTCTGCCTCAGGGGAACCTAAATTCCTGCTTCTCAGCCTCAGGTGCTTGGCTGCTGTGGAGCACAGGCAGCCTCAGGAGAGAAAGCAGAGTCTGTAGCCTGAAGGGGCTGAAGCTTTGGTGCATCAGGAAAAAATCAACCAGCAGAAACTGTGCAGGTGGCTCTTTGCAATGCGGAGAAACCTCCTTGCTAGAGCTGGACCAGATCTGCTGATTTACTTCACTCAAAATGGAGCGTGATCTGCACCACAAGGACTCGTTGCTCTAATTTATGAAATGCATCTGTGACCACCTTTTAATCTTTTGCTAGTCCAAACAACTGAATGCTACCAACGTGACAAATGTCCCTGCTTTGTGCGAAGCCGATCATCACTCCAGAGCTATTGTCCGAAGGTGAAATGTATTAAAGCTGGTTGGATCTCCAGCATTCCCCTTGCTTAAAATAAACCAGAGGGCAGATCTTCAGTGGGAGTAAATTCTCATTGTGCTGAGGCTGATGGGTATGGGAGAAGCAACACCACCTCCTGGACCTCTCCGCATCCACGTGTCCACCTTTACACATGATCTAGGGCCATGGGAAGCATCCCAGCCCCATCCCAAGTGAGAAGGATTAGAACATCTCATGTCAAAGCATTGGATGGCAAAATGCCTTTGGGACTGAAAAGCCTCAAAATGTGGGATGCTGTTTGTGGTCCCCCACCTGCAGCTGGGGGCTGGGGACTCACAGTTGAGAGGTCTCAGCCCTGATCCTGGTGGCCCAGAGGAATATTTGCTGTTGGCCAAGAACAGATTAGGGCTGAGCTGCAGCAGCAGGGGAAGGGTCAGGCCCCCCAGCCAAACAGAAGGAGGGAGCTGGGTCTCCGGCTGGCCCTGGGGCAGAGCTGCATCACTCTCTGGGCTGGGACTGCACCAGTGACCTGTGTCCCATAGGAAGGCACACCACCCACCCCGCAGCAGCACCTCTCCTCCAGTCCATCTGCAGCTCTCCTCCCCTGCTAACTCAGCTAAAGGCAGCTCTACCACAACTAACAACTGCCAGGAGGCTTCAGCGAGCAAACACTTCACAGCAAAGTGCAACATAACGTTAAAGCACAGCTAAAAATATTCCTAAAGAGTTTTATTAGTAAATGCCACAGTAGTTTTTTCCCCCCCTCCCTTTCTACTGCAGAACGCTTCAGCTCTAGGAACAGCACTTGACTAAATTGCCTCTAAATCACAAACGCCTCTGAAGGCTGGGCTCTGCAACACCAACCTTCAACAGAAGCCTGCTTAGGAGGATGCCATAAATGCAACGGCCTCGTTACCTTGGGGTTAGTATAAAAAGCTCATCCTGCTGCTAGCTCGGTTTAAAGCAAGCAGGCTCCTTGCACTGTTTTTTTATCTAAATGATGTTTCTTCACAGGTTTGCGGGTAGCAAACAGTGATTTGGCACATGGGTTTTCAGATACTTGTTTTCCTTAGGTTTTAGTTGATGTGTGGCTTGATCTCTCAGTGATGCTGATGGAGCCAAGGGCCACTTCACCAGGTCCTTCCCATCCCATAGAAGCTGCTGCGAGCCCCAGCTCCACAGCCACCCTTTGGCTCTGTCTCTGCTTTGGATACAAACAAAATCCATGCAAACACAATGCCCCAGTATGCTGAAGGGAGAAAGGGGTGGATAAAACTATGTGTGATCCCCCTCCATCATCCTTTGGTGGCTCTGTGTGTGGCTCCCGTGCTGATGCTGGCTGGGAGCAGCAATGCCTGCCTCGATCTCCAGAGGAGGAGTCAGGGGATGGGGTGGTGGGAACAGCGGCACAGATCCCAGCTATGTTTTGGCTGGAAGAGATCCCTGCTGACCGGGGAATCATGTGTCGTTTCTCATGACTCTCTATCACCAAAGGAAAACCCTCAATGACATTTCTCTCCCTTTTGTGCTCAGCTCATTAACAGAAGGACCCCTCTTGCTCGCCGGCGGTTTGTGTGACCAGGATGCTGCTGAACAAACCACCCTTATTCTGCCCAGTATAGAAGGAGCTTTGATAAACCCAGGAAACCCTCAGCAAGCAGCGAGGGTCCTTCTGGAAAGCCGGCTCTCACTGCCTTCGGGAACAGCTGCAGGACCGGCATCTCCAGCCAGAGAGCTGGCATCTCCAGCCAGCTCAAATGCGATTCCCTCAGGGCTGTGCCATGCGCTCGGGTGGTCCCTTCCCAGAGGGTGCCTTTTGGGATAAGCAGCTCTGCAAAAAGGAAAGCATTCCTGCCTGTTTTATTTTAACACTTTGGGCTTGAGGGCTGTTATTCGTAACTTGTCAAGATCTTGGCATCTGCAGCTGATTTGTCATCCACCATAAAATGGAGGATGAGCATCTTTGGTTCAGAAGTGGGCCAAGTGAGATGATAGCTCAAAGCAAAATAGGCTTCATCTCGAGTTTTCTCCGTGGGCTTCAGCTCCTTGGGGAAGGAGCGGACATTTGGGGTCTAAGTTGCATCACAGGCATCATGTGTAAGAGCCCTTGGCGTGCTCTGCGTCTGTGACAGAAGAGCACGGTGCACATTAACCTCCTAGCTGCCAGATGAAGTTTTGCTTGGCTGATGCCCTCTTCAACCTCTCCTCAGTGCCAAGCTGTTCACCTGCCATGGGGGTGCTACTGAGATACACAAATGCTGTTATTATATATATATATATATATATATATATATATGTGTATGTTAATGAATCTAGCAACCTCTTTAAAACCCAGGCAATGAGATGCAGCAACTGAGGGGTGTACCTTGGCATGCTGAAGTTTGGAGATAGATAAATTATTAATTCTGCCATTGCTGATCTGCCCATAGCTCTGTGCTCCCTCCCTTCGGCTTGTGTCCGGCACTGTATCTGGTCCCTGGCTGCTCTCTGCCAGGCAGCCGCAGACAAAGCAGCCACAAACTACACGAAAAAGCATCTTAATCCATAGGTATTTTATCGTGCTGACACCACCACGAGGCAGCAAGAACTCGAGTTTGAAGCCATAGAATTAAAGCTCTCTGCAAGTAGCTGAATCATGGAGGATGGAGGCCCCAGCTCTGCGCTCTTTGGGGGGTGTGTGCCTGCCTGCAACCTGCTTGTGGGGCTGCTGGAGGGGCTCCAAACCCCAGGGAGGGCCCTAGGTTAGGAGGTTCCACGCATGGCAGCTGCTATCAGGTTTCTGACCTGCTTGGCCTTGTCCCCTCTGCTCCTCTAGGCTCGCACCGTGCTGCAGCCCCTCCATACCCTCCACATTCCCTACCCGGGGGTGATGAGCCCTACTCTATGCTGTGCCTCTCGCTGCACACCCTCTTATCTTCCACAATGATGTAAAAACGAAAAGCAATGGTGCATCCTCCCTCCCCACGATGCAAAGAGGTAAAGTGATGTGCCACCCCCAATGCAAGTGTGAAAGGAGTCAGTTACCCCACTGTCCATGCAGGAATGCAAAGTGAAAGCACCCCCACACACATGCAAAGGTCCAAAGAGGCTCAGAGTACCATGATGTAAATGTGTTAAGTAATTTGGGGGCTCCCCTGCATGAAAAGGTGCAAAGCAGCCTGACTCTCTCCGTTCCATGCAAAGGATCATCCTTACCGCCCCCCCCCCCCCCCCCCCCATGAATAGGTGTGAAGTGACAGGCACTCCCCACTCAGGGATGCAAAGAAGCTTGGACAGCCCCCTCCTAATGCGAGGCTGCAAAGCGACATACACACACACACACCCCCATGCACGATGCAAAGCTATGAGGGACACCCCTGCAACCCAGGGATGCAAAGCGGCCCGGACCCCCCATGCGGGGATGCAGAGTGGTGGAGATCCCCCCCATCCATTAAAGGATGCAGAGCGCTGGGGGATCCCCTCCATGCACGGATGCCACCCCCCTCAAAAAAGGACGCAAAGCCAAGGGGGACCCCAATAACGAGGCTGCCAAGCAATGATACCCCCCTTGCAACTCACAAATGGGGGTACCCCCCCTTTCCCCGTGCCGCGTCATTCCCGCATCCCTCCCCGCTCACCTCCGCCGGCTTCGGGGGTTCGGGGGGGGGGGGGTCTCTCCCTCCGCGGCTGCCCCCGGGGCTGCGCGGGGCTGCGCGGGGCTGCGCAGGGCTGCGGCGGCAGCCGCGCTCCCGCTGCGCGCCCCTCCGCGCCGCTCCGCAGTGCGCGCACGGCGCATGTGCCCGCTCCGCCGCCTCCGCCCCGCTCCGCCCCGCTCCGCTTCCCACGGCCGAGCCCCGGGGCCGTTCGGGTCCCAGCGCCCCGGGCCGGGCCGGGCCGGGCCGTGCGGACCCCGCTGCCTGCCCTGTGCCACCCGCCGGGGCTCCAGCAGGGGTTTTCCAGGCTGGCTCGGCAGCGGCATTGGGAATGACTCGCTCAGGGGCTGGGACTGCGGGTCCGAGATGCCAGCGGAGCCAGGGCGGGCTCTGGCGACCCTTTATCCCCTCCCCAATCTCCTGGTGACCCCTTACCCATCCTCGGACCCCTGGTGACCCTCTGCCCCCTCCTCAGACCCTTGGTGACCCCCTTCTACATACCGTTGGTGAACCCCTATCCCATCCTCAAACTCTTGATGATTCCCCACCACCTCTTCAGACCCCACAGTGACCCCCTCCCTAAGCCCTGGTGACCCCCTATCCCTCCCCAAGCCCCTGGTGAGGCCCCGCTCACAAACAGCCCGTTGCCGTAATTCCAGCCGCTACTAGAGGGCAGAGCGAGCCCGGCGAGGAGCAGGGATGTGGGAATTCGTGTCTGCTTCCCACTGAGGCGTATGGAGGAGAGGGAGAACTTCAGCAGAGCGAGGGATGCTGTGAAATGGTTTGAGGTTTGGAGTAGGATGATTCACGCTTTGATTTTTTCCCATGGAGCGCTCCAGGGCTGGATTAAGCCGTGTTTGCAAAGAAGATACCGCTGAGCTCCCTGTTCCCCAGCACATCAGGGTGCTGCACCTCGGATCCTGAGCACCCCCGTGGCCATTCCTGGTCCTCATCAAAGACAGAAACCAAGAATGGATGCATGGCACGGACATCCCAAAAGGGACAGCTGATACACACTCTAGGCTGGGCCTAGGGGTCTGGCACAAGGCTATGTCCCATCCCAATGCCTGTCTCTTTTGCAGGCTGCAGTGTTAAGGGCAGCTACGACATGCCTGGAGGTACTCAGGCAGGTCTGTAGCCTGTGCCAGCACCAGCCATGGGTGTCCTCATGGATCCTCCTCTAGTGGCTATAGCAGCTTGGCTGCTCAAGCTGGCTGCTTCAGATTCAGCCTGGACTTCCTTGTCTGGCTGTGCCGTCCCCATGCTGATTCATGAGCTGGTGCTACCAGAGGTAAAAGTGTTCCCTGACCCTAACAGAGCCAGAAGTGCAGCTGGTCAGGGTGAGGCAGGCTGATGCTCCTTCCAGGACCAGCACAACCTTCATCAGCACCTTGTCGCAGAGACAGGGAGATTCAGGGGATTCACCATCGGCCAGGAGGTGTGAGCATCCCCTTTGCCATGGGTGATGTATCCGAGGTGAGAGCTGAAGCAATCAGTCACACCCAGACCATACCTGGAGCAGCTCTGGGGCTTGTTGTGCTGCAGGAGCAGGTCAGCACATCATGAAACCACAAACTGATGGGTGTCACAACCATCTTGCTCCTCAGCCCCAGGAGCCCCTGATAGTACAGAGGCCTTTTCACCTGGATTTAGATGCTTGAATGCACTAAAAATTGATCCAAATCCCTCCTGTATGGAGAAATCCAGTGGATAATGCATGAGCCGGTGTCAAGCATCCCATGACAACCCACAACAGCAGCTGCTTTCCTCTGTGATCCAAGCTCTAGTCCTGGATCTGCACTCCAGGAAAGGAGATGATTTGCAGGGAATCCTAATCACTGTTGGTTTGTTCTTTTCTAGATGTGGATGAGTGTGGTGCAACCTCTGGCGTGTGCGATGGTGGCGAGGGCACTAACACAGCAGGCAGCTACGTGTGCACATGTCCATGTGGTTTCATGATCAGCCCTGCTGGATCACGCTGCATTGGTAAGATGCTAAACAGATCTGAGGACCACAGATACAGGGAGAGATCCCCTGCTGAACCCCAAAGGGGAAGATTTGCAAATCCCTCTCTGGTGATCACCAGGTTTGCAGATCAGAGGGCACATTGCTTCTGCAATAGCTGGGAAATGCTCTTTTCCATGTGCTGTCCCTCATGTGCCTGTTCTGATCAAAGGTTTTGATGCTGTTACATAGAATCATAGAATAGTTAGGGTTGGAAAGGACCTTAAGATCATCCAGTTCCAACCCCCCTGCCATGGGCAGGGACACCTCACACTAAACCAGGGCACCCAGGGCTCTGTCCAACCTGGCCTTGAACACTGCCAGGGATGGAGCATTCACAGCCTCCCTGGGCAACCCATTCCAGTGCCTCACCACCCTCACAGTAATGAATTTCTTCCTTATATCCAATCTAAACTTCCCCTGTTTAAGTTTTAACCCGTTACCCCTTGTCCTGTCACTACAGTCCCTAATGAAGAGTCCCTCCCCAGCATCCCTATAGGCCCCCTTCAGATACTGGAAGGCTGCTCTGGGGTCTCCACGCAGCCTTCTCTTCTCCAGGCTGAACAGCCCCAACTTTCTCAGCCTATTTTCATACAGGAGGTGCTCCAGCCCCTGATCATTCTCGTGGCCTCCTCTGGACTTGTTCCAACAGCTCCATGTCCTTTTTATGTTGAGGACACCAGAACTGCACACAATGCTCCAGGTGAGGTCTCACGAGAGCAGAGTAGAGGGGCAGGATCACCTCCTTCGACCTCTGGTCACGCTCCTTTTGATGCAGCCCAGGATACGGTTGCTTTCTGGGCTGTGAGCGCACACTGAAGCCGGCTCATGTTCATTTTCTCATCAACCAACACCCCCAAGTCCTTCTCCGCAGGGCTGCTCTGAATCTCTTCTCTGCCCAACCTGTAGCTGTGCCTGGGATTGCTCCGACCCAGGTGTAGGACCTTGCACTTGGCATGGTTAAACCTCATGAGGTTGGCATCAGCCCACCTCACAAGCGTGTCGAGGTCCCTCTGGATGGCATTCCTTCCCTCCAGGGTATCAACCGAACCACACAGCTTGGGGTCATCGGCAAACTTGCTGAGGGCGCACTCAATCCCACTGTCCATGTCAGCGACGAAGATGTTGAACAAGACCGGTCCCAACACCGATCCCTGAGGGACACCACTCGTTACTGGTCTCCAGCCGGACATTGAGCCACTGACCACAACTCTTTGTGTGCGGCCATCCAGCCAGTTCTTTATCCACCGAGTGGTCCATCCATCAAATTGATGTCTCTCCAATTTAGAGACAAGGATGTCGTGTGGGACAGTGTCGAATGCTTTGCACAAGTCCAGGTAGATGCCATCAACTGCTCTACCCCTGTTCATCAGTTCTGTAAGGAAGTGCTGTCCATCAGCAGCCCCTGGACCCTCTCCTGCACTGCTTGTGTGTTTACAGCCCTGCACATGCCCGAGCTTGGAGGGCGCAGGCAAGAGAGCAGGCAGCATGCCCGGGGTGCTCCATGCAGCTTGGCCATCTGGTCCACACATGGCAGGGTTGGGCAGGGAAAGGCAGTGCGCTACTCCTGTCACAGATAGAGGGAGACCCAGGGAGCATCAGCCTCACTCCTGCACACAGGGGCCTTTGCTGTCTTTCTGCTGCCTCAGGTGGTGGCCAGCCCCTGTGCTAGAGGACATGTTGGCAGACAGTCTGTCCCTGGGAGCTCCTTGCAGATCTCCTCTGACTCTTTACCAACTCTGCAGATTAGGAACTTCTCTTTCCATGCCCTCTGCAGAGCTATGGGAAGGGATGCTTTGTGCCTGGTATCTCTGCTGTTTCCAGGGGTGCTGCAGCATGGTTTGGGAAGGCAGGCAGGCAAGCAGCACCCTCAGAGCTGAGCAGCACCTCCAGCCCAGCCCAGCCTCTGCCCAGGCTCTTCCCAGCTCTGTGTACACCAGGTGTGGGTTTATTACCCAATACTTTTTCCTGTCTCACTCGCAGGCTGGGTCTTAGACCAGTGGTGCACTCCTGCTTGATCTCAGCTGCACGAACCAGCTGCACTGATACTCCTCTGCTCCCAGAGCTGTTAGCCCTGGAGATGTTTGTGCTGGCTTTGCTATGGGCCATGGGGCAGGAGCAGGCAGCCCTCCTGGCCATGCAGCTGTGAAGATGCTCCAGGCTTGCTGCAAGCAGTGGAGGGCCAACCTCATGCTGTTCTGGAGCTAGGATGTGTTCTCCACCTCCAAACTCAGGAGCTGATGGGGAATTTGCTCTGTCCCTGGATAAACTACGCAGTTATCAGTTCCTACCAGCAATTAAGGTACTCTGGGAACAACTTCTGCTAGGACCACATCCACAGACTTCTCTGCTAGCAATGCCAAGTAGGTAGCACCTACTTGGATGTCTCCCACAGTAGTGGCACTGGGGACAGTGACACTGGAGTAAGCACCGAGCCCAAAACCCCACAACTCCAACCCTCCATCACACTCAGCTCAGCAAACCAAGCTCTGTGCATCCAGAGTCAGATGCCAGGAGGCTGCCAAAACCTGGCTGCTCTATGGTTTGGGTCAAAGACCCCCAGCCAGCACAGGAGGAGGTGCTGGTGCTGTGCCGCTGCCGCACGTGCCCGCCTCCCGCGCAGGCTGCTGCAAGGGGTGAGGTAATCCTGGGTAATTCCTGACTTCCATGGAAATGCCTCGGGGCCGAGATGATTATCGCTGTAATTAGCCTCTCTGATTTTTCTTGGTGTTCTATAAAATATTAATTTACAGCTGGATCCTTGCCTCCTTTGTGCGCCGGTTTGAGCTCTTCCCGTCAGCAAAGCATCTCTGGCACCTCTCACCAAGGTCTTGTGGGGTTACACAGCAGAGCCAGGGCGGCCGCTGGCGGCCGGACTGTGGTTGGGATTGGTGGCTCCAGACAGAAGCTTCCACTTTCCCACAGGAACATGCCCTTTAAGCTCCTATTTCAAAGGAAAGACACAAAATCAGTGAAGCACTCTCGGGAAGCGCTCTTCACACCTCTTCAACTGTATGATGAAGGTGAGCAGGCAGCCAAACCACTCCAGGAAGCCCTATA